TATATATATATATATATATAAACAATACCTTGCTACGTGTACTGCGTTAGGCTAACCGAGACTTGTCATTTGCACTTTGCTCTTTTGTTAGTTTTGATTGCTTCTATTGTCCTCATTTGTAAGTCGCTTTGGATAAAAGCGTCTGCTAAATGACTAAATGTTTATGTAATGTAAATATGACATAAAAGCAGTAATGCTCATTCACATTACATGGGTTTGGACAATGAAGACATCAGAAACACATTTTCTGTTTGTATAGGGTTGTTAAAAGGTAAGTTACAGGTGTCTGGACACCTTGAAATATATGGTGGCCAGCATAGGTGCAATTATTATATAAAGTCATAATATGACAATACAAACTGAAACAGAACATTCAATGAATAGGGAAAAAATGAAGGGTGGAACTTGATTTTTATTCAGTCAATTGACTGCATGGTGAAAAGTGGGTGTTTCATACCTGAATGGAGCCAGTTTATTACATTATTATCAAAATTACAATGTTTTCTCTTTTAGAATAATGTGCATTGTTGAATTGTGCACATCAATACCAGAAATATAAAATAAATGGTGTAAACACTGATTTCTTGTAATGCTCAGGTTTCATGATGTTCATGCCAAGCTTCTCAAGGCTTATTGATTTAATAGCTTCTATATAGTGTTTGGATCTCTTAACCCACCACATGCTGGTGGCGGTGGTGTGTTGGGGACAGGAGGTTAGTCTGTCTTCTCAAGGGTGTTATTGTCTTGCAAACAGAATGTGAGAGTTTGGGGATTGTTGTTGGATCTGCTGTTGCAGTATGGGTGCTCTCTTCTTGAGTTCTTTGGAGGTCTGCCAACAGCTCTTCGTCCAGCCAAAGCCCCTCTCCTCCGTGGACCTGTAGCTGGTAGTACATTGATCTGATTGATTATCGGAGTGGTCTTACCAAAGGAAAAGAGTGATGCCTGAAGAGCACTGTCAGTCTTTATTTGAAAGAAACTGGACACAAAAGCTCTTACAGGCGGTGTAAAACTTGCATCCTCATTCAGCTTCTTTTTCAGCATCCCAAAAATCTCCTCAAGCTGTCCATCTAAAGACCCAACGACCTCTTCAGCTGCACCTAAACAGATAAGATACAATGCTAATGACTGTGTTGACTGTTAACAGTTTTAGTCTGATTAATGTGAGATTATTAATGTAAGATGCTTAAATGACGTACTTGGGCCTGGCTCATTGTCTTCTGTGAAATGCTCTGCTTAACAACAGAAAGACTGTTTGTGTACATACTGTAATAGCCCATGTAATAATCACTTAACAAAATGTCTGCTTCCATATTAAATCTGTATCTCAGAAAACACTGAGACACAGCTCACATACAGAGTCACAAGACCACAATAAGCACATTTTGACTGGTCTGTTTCATATGTGAACTGCGTCTCACAAAGTGACCAAAGATGAGTTGCTTCACCTGTAGTGATGATTGGCACAGCATCAACAGACACTCCATCTTCAATGCATGCGGTGTGTCCTTCTGCTTGTTTTACAGAAAGAACAATGTGAAATCTCTTCTATAATATCTCTTCATAGACAACTATTATTTATGTAGTCTTGTTTTATTTCAGCAGGTGCATGAAATATGTCCCTATTCACCTGTATCTGCTGTTGTCTCCCATGATTGTTCCAACTCTAAGGGTTTAAAAAGCTCGTCTGAAATGTCCTTCCCTGAACAGACACCCATATATTGCACAAGAAAAAAAAAACTGGAATTAAACAACAGTTTTCGGCATTTGGATGCAATTTAATTTAAATAAAAATAGGCATAAATGTTGAATATATCTGTAACACTTTTTCAATTTAAAGTAAACATCCTGTATATGCACACTACTTTTTGTGTAACAGAGAGTTACAATTAAGCAAAAAGGTGGGCTGGGTGGTATATTTACTTTGTAAGATATATCGACATCTTTTCATAAACGCAAGACAACTGTTTATAAGAATATAGAGTGGTGTGATGTTGCAAGCACATTTGAAAAATAGCGAGTACGCAGAGTGAGCTGTTGCAGGGAAAGTGCAATATCCAAATGGTCCTAAATATGAGACATGCTTTATTTTAAGCCCTTCAATAACGCTTCATGAGCATATAGTTTAAAGTGCCTTACCCTTACATTTCATTCACATTTTATCTGTAAATGTTAGAATGTCATGTGAGTATTTCCATTTTGCTTAAAGGATGCAAAGAGGATAAGTGGCTTGGAGAATGGATGGATAAAGGCTTGTCCTGACAGCGAGCTAGTCTCCGCTAAACTTCACAGACCTGGCTAAAGGAGCATGTGCATGTGCATGCACATCAAACAGGCTGAGCGCAACTATGAGGGCACAGGGCAGTATTTCTGACTAAAATAAAATATACATTATGCTAAAACATTTGTTGTTAGACGTGTTTTAGACATTTGTTGTTCCACATTTATAAAATATAGTAATTATAAAATATTTTTTATAAGAGCAGTAAGATCTCATCAAGCCCTGTATAAGAACAGTTACCTCTGAGTCTTCTACCTCTGTTCCTGTAACAGTAATATTTACATTTTAACCCTTCATGTAGGCTATAACCTAGCCTACACAGATACATTCACTATATTTATTTTCATAGCCTTCCATTTGCACATTGTCTGATCTATCTATCTATCTATCTATCTATCTATAAAACTCAGCATCATGTGACCAAAATGTACAAATCCATAAATGGCATCACAGGGAGGATTATGACTGTGTCAAATCAGTCAATCTTTTAAAAATTTCACATATATTGTCTTCTTAAGGTTAATTCAGTTTCTCAAATGATAAAATCCTTTAGAAACATCACAATATTTAGGATTAAATATATCAAATTATTTTTTACGTGATCGTTCACCTCTTGACATTTTTTTAAATCATTAAACAAAATTATGTGTAAAACTTTTTCCAATAATGTGTGAAATAAACATGAATGCAATTATTACAAAGATTTACACACGAGTTTGAAACACGTGTTTTGAACTAGTTTGACTGACCTGTAGCAGAACTGAAGGTCTGGGCAGATGGATCGATCCGCAGTAGCGTAAATGTAGTTATCGCCTTCCTCTTCCTGCAGGCTGTATTTAATATTCTTGAGTGCAGATGAAGGAGAGTGACCGCTTTTGTAGAGCTGTTGTAACTTTTCAATGGTGTCATTCGACACATCTCTCCACCTCATGGCCTCAGCTGTGTTCAGTCTATGATTATGTTCATTCCTCAAGTTCACATGAAGGAAATAGCCCTCTTCAAGGTGTGGGTCTCCTGATCTGTGGAAGGATAGATGAAGTATTATGTTTTAATGCATAGATTGCATGACCTCCTGTGAATTCAATTTATTGTGATCAAACATTTGGGTGTTCAAGATGAATTGAATTGTATTTATAGTACATTACCTTGGTCTCGTTTTGGTCTCACCTGGACTTTCTTTCATACATAAATCTCTTGAGAATCAGAAACATGGTGGCAGGGCAGTTGGTATTTTTGGTCGTTTTGGATGATGAACTTGTGTTTTGTGCTGGCATCTCAGATCCACCTGAATTTACACAGGCTCTCAAAATTTTAATACTGAACATTAATTCCTTTTTTCCAAAACATCTTTGCTATTAATCATGCAACCATTATTACATTTTCGTTAATCATCACTAAATTTCTCTTTATTACAATAACTATGGCCAAAGCTTTACATTAACCAAGAGTCTTCAAATGATAAAATCCTTTAGAAACATCACAATATTTAGGATTAAATATATCAAATTATTTTTTACGTGATCGTTCACCTCTTGACATTTTTTTAAATCATTAAACAAAATGATGTGTAAAACTTTTTCCAATAATGTGTGAAATAAACATGAATGCAATTATTACAAAGATTTACACACGAGTTTGAAACACGTGTTTTGAACTAGTTTGACTGACCTGTAGCAGAACTGAAGGTCTGGGCAGATGGATCGGTCCGCAGTAGCATAAATGTAGTTATCGCCTTCCTCTTCCTGCAGGCTGTATTTAATATTCTTGAGTGCAGATGAAGGAGAGTGACCGCTTTTGTAGAGCTGTTGTAACTTTTCAATGGTGTCATTCGACACATCTCTCCACCTCATGGCCTCAGCTGTGTTCAGTCTATGATTATGTTCATTCCTCAAGTTCACATGAAGGAAATAGCCCTCTTCAAGGTGTGGGTCTCCTGATCTGTGGAAGGATAGATGAAGTATTATGTTTTAATGCATAGATTGCATGACCTCCTGTGAATTCAATTTATTGTGATCAAACATTTGGGTGTTCAAGATGAATTGAATTGTATTTATAGTACATTACCTTGGTCTCGTTTTGGTCTCACCTGGACTTTCTTTCATACATAAATCTCTTGAGAATCAGAAACATGGTGGCAGGGCAGTTGGTATTTTTGGTCGTTTTGGATGATGAACTGTATGTTTTGTGCTGGCATCTCAGATCCACCTGAATATACACAAGGCTCTCAAAATTTTAATACTGAACATTAATTCCCTTTTTTTCCAAAACATCTTTGCTATTAATCATGCAACCATTATTACGTTTTCGTTAATCATCACTAAATTTCTCTTTATTACAATAACTATGGCCAAAGCTTTACATTAACCAAGAGTCTGCTTAGCCAAGGTGGCTTGATGATTCAACAAAGAAAGTAATTTTAGAGAATGTTATTACACTGATGAATTGCTTGCAATAAGAACAGGCATGTCTATTATGAAAGGTATACAGGCTCAATTTTGATATTATGTTGCCTTTAAAGTGTACATAAACAGGCTGGTCTTACTCTGTATTTGTTGTAGCGTCCAGAGTCAGGGTATGTCCTGGATTTCCTCCATGTTAAAGCTGAGGACTTCTGGAAGTCCTCCAACCACTTCTGGACCTGCTCCTCAGTAGTCATCTGCAATTTAAGAGCTGCTCTGAAGTTTTCAATATCCCCCGACATTTCCAGCAGTTCATAATGACAAAGTAGATGACTGTAGCCGGGTGGCAAGATTTTCTGCCATGAAAATTGTCAGTTAATAAAACACACACTCAATCTCACAAGAACATGTCCAAGTCACATCTCACCCCAGATTCTAAAGATTTTATTGCTCTGTCACTTTCAATTTTATTTGCATTGTGACTGACATATTCATGCCAATTAAGCACATTTCATCCCTAAACAATTTACTGTAATGCATCAAGATGCTTTTTTTTAAGGTTTTGTAATTCTCAATTTTCTTAAGATGATTTGCATTAAATTTTCATGACTGTAATAATGTGTTTTTAAAATAATGCAGTACAATGAATTTGTGTTTAAATCAGCATAACTCAATGCAGTACAGCAAATGCTAAAATGATGTATTATACACTGCCTGGCCAAAAACAACCAAAACAAAACAAAAAAAGTTGCCATTTGGATTTAATTAAGTAAATACTGAAGAATATGACCCCTTTAAGTCAATATTCACATTAATGACAATTTGAGGGAAAATATTCTTAATTCTCATGAAAATAATTTCACATTAAAAACAATGGCAAATAATATATATATATATAGTATATATATATGTATATATATAGTATATGTGTGTGTGTGTGTGTGTGTGTGTGTATAACAAAAAGTTTTAAATTCAGTTTGGACGGCAGATTCTTCCAGTGGTAATTGGGTGAAAATAAGAAATTAATCCCACACTGAAATTGGTTTAATCTATATGTTGGCCAATATGTTTGACGTTCAATTTACATCAAATCAACGTCATGTCAAGTTTTTGACATCAGTATCGCATATTTGACCTGTTTTTTTACGTCAATTTTTATGTCAATTTGATGTCTTTTCAACATCAATTGCCCACTGGGTAGCTTTAGTAACTTGTATTTTTGCAGCAAGAATTATAGCATGTCTCATTTTCACTATGGCAGCAGTGGTGATTGGCTCTCCATGTGTTTAGACCTTTTCCGTTTATGTTTCATAACATTTTATAGAAAAAACAGTTGCATTGAAGAGCCACATGGTTTTATCTAAAGGTATTAACTACGGTTATTATAAATACAATGGTATAATAACTATGCTATAACTATGGTATAGATTCATACTGATCAGCAAGACTTTCTTTTATTAAAACATGAATTGAATACGCTATCGAGCTGTATAATGTTAACGCTAAAGGTAAATAATATAATAATGAATCGTGTCAGCTGTGCTAACGTTAGCCAACTAGCTCACACAAAATCAGGCCTCGCTCTTTAAAACAGCAGCTGCTAATAATATGAATACATACAAACCTCCACATGATCTGTGTCCTCTGCTGCTTTATCCTCTCTAACACAATGCTGACACTTTAATAGTGTCATTTTGAGCAGCTGAACAAAACCGAAGAGCTAAACTTCGCAATCGGTTTTATACGTTAACCGTCCTACGCAAAACTCTCGCGAGATTTACATGGATTTATTTGGAAGACACCGCGCGAGTTTTCAAGTTGATCAAGATTATTGGATTCAAGAACCATGGTAAAAAGGCTTTGCTTTGCAATAGCATTTGGTAACATTAAATTACAGACATACACATTTTCACACACACAAAAATGTTTTATAAAATAATAACGAGAAGAAAGAAGATTTATTTATTGTGTATTTATTTGGTTGGTGGTTCTTGTCCAATTTATGTTTATGTCGTTTAGGGACAGATAACATTCTAATTTATTTTGTTGAGCTGTTGCTTCTGTCCAGTGTCTTATTTTTGTTTTTTAATAAATTGGTCTGATTGGGGGTTTTATAACCAACTGAATTCGTTTTAGCTAGATTCTGATTCTCTCAGATTGTTGACAACCTTGTTGCTGATGTTTAAACTTTATACCAAGATATGTGTAGTTCTGACTGTGTTAAAGGGAAATGTTTTCTAATGTGAAGTTATGATATTGGTCTTGCCAGCTGTAAGTAATTATTTATTTATTTATTTTCAGAATATCATTATTTTAGTCTTTTTGCAGTTAACCGACAGAGCCAGGTTATAAACAGAAGGTATTTGACTTAAGTGTCTAATAGAGTAAGACTGGGTGCTTCAGAGTGTTCCAGAGCCCTTGCTTGTTCATTGATTTATACATTATTGAATAGGGTGTAGCCCTGCCTTACCCCAGGACTCTGAGGGAGGAAATCTTTGTATTAAAAAAAAAATTGTTGTTGTGCATATTGATTTGACAACGTTCTATGTTTTTCCTCTGACACTGCACTGAATCAACTTAAGTAAATATCCTTCATGCCAAACTAAATCATAACTTTTTTAAATCAACAAAGCATGAGAATATTCTGGTTAATTTGCTTGTCATTTAGTGCATGTACAGTGTATGGTCTGGTGTGCAATATTTTGGTTGGAAGCCAATGGATGTTGCAGAAAAGATTACCTATGGTTTACATACATAAACTATGGCAGTTGTTGGGGTTGAATTTGTCTCCGCTTTTATAAATAGGGGTAATAGTTCCAGTAATGAGGCCATGGCTCCAGATTTTGGAAATACACCTGCACTGAGGATGATTTAAAAGAAAAAAATGTTAGGATGGCCAATTTAAAATTATAGTCTGTGTATTTAATACTTTTGTTTAGGATGGTGTCAATACAACAAGCTTTTGGAGATTTTAGGGTTTATATTTTGTTTGATAGTTTAATAGGAGAGTCCAAAGGGTTCTGGTCTTTGACAATTGACGATAAAAGACATAATTTGTTGTATAGTGCTTTGTATAAGGTTGTTCTCTATTCTGGATAGTTAGTTCTTCATTATGAGGTTTATTTAGTCATTTTTAATGTTCCCAAAAGTGATTTGATTTTAAAGATTGGTCCGTCCTAACCAGCACTGAGAAAAGTAACAAGTAACGTTACCACGTGACTATGCCGTTCATGTGCCGTCTGGACAATAATTTTATACCTGAATAATGACAATTAAAATAAACCTTTCTAGGTAAAATATTTATTATATGATATTATTTAGACACCTCCCATTAAACATTAGGGCCGGTAAGCCACTCTTCTTTATATTTTATGATTCAAACACTAAGCGTACTGGTTTGTAATCTTATCGTATTTCTATGGCATTACCAGTGTTATACGCAATTTTTAGTACGTAGTGCTTGTACGTGAATTGGATTCACCCCATGTTTCTTTCCTGCTTGAGACGCTTCCGTCTGAGCGAATGATTGGTTAAACTCTACAGTCGAGAGTTTCAAAGTGATTGTCTATTGGCGGATGGGACGTCACTCAAAGGTTGTGCCCGCCCTCTGTGTTTGCAATTTCACGACTGCATTGCATCTAGTGGAAAACCCTTAACTCAAGTAAATACTGATTTTCTAAATACTGCATTTCTAAATACATGTAAGGTTAACGTTAATCCGTTAAAATGTTCTGTTTGATATTACGTAAGCAGTTGATAAGCACTTGCTAAAATAACCCGACTGTGGCTGTAGGTAGCACCTATGGCTAACTAACGTTAATCTATCTATCGATTCATCCGCTATATGTGCTGTTATTGTGTTTTTCTATTATTCTCACGAATAACTGTGATCTACATGCTTTTCTCTTATATTTTATCGGAGGTAGGAACTGCTGAGCATTCTTTAAAAATGATAAAATTGCCTGTATTCAGTCGGGGTTAAAAGATCCGAGCTGGAAGCTGTAAGATTGTAGGTTAAATCCTAGATCAAGACACCTTTGAGGCACTGGATCACTAATAATTGCAAGCTGCTTCATTTGTCTGTTTATCCATTTAATGGGTATGGTGCGGTGTAGTAGATCTGAGCTGAAAACTTTTACTGTTGCCATTAGCATATATAATGCTGTTATACATTTTAACTAACTGAATGACCTTTGTTACAGTGTGAACACTTTATTCACTTTGTCCAATAATGATATTCTTCTTGTTTTATTGGAGTGCCGCTTAAGGGAACAGTGTCATTTTAAATAGGTGGAGGTGGGTCTTTAGATGCTTCTGTATATTCTGGCATCAGCACATTTAGAGTATGTAAAGTGACATTATCACCATGAAGTAATGCAATACAGAATAACAGAAAACTCCCACTTCACTATTTTTTCATGGCATTATGGAATTGCCTGATAAAATATGCATATTTTTCATAAAGGGATACTGAATGTAAAATTGTTTCTTAATTTCTAAAGTATAGTAAAAGAGGTTTATTGGCATCTGGAAATCGAGATCATCATTTAATCTGATCATCTTACACAGTCACTTAACACAGTTGTTTCTGATATGGCAGAGTGTTTGAATTGCAGGCAGATCTACAGGTAGCTGAGTCCCAGCCGCCAGCATGTCTGGCACTGCTACAGTCCTGCAGCAGTTTGTGAGTGGCCTTAAGAGTCGAAATGAAGACACACGTGCCAAAGCTGCCAAAGACCTCCAGCATTATGTCACCACAGAACTAAGAGAGGTAAACTGTACTACTTTTATCCTTGATCCAAATATTTACATCGTTAAGCTTCATCAAAACAGTCAAAAGCATAGCTTTGACAAGTAATTTCTATATATCTTTTGCCTAAATGTAATGTCTTATTACCACACCTGTGATTGACAATTAACTGAAGTTATTTTGTCTTGCAATGTGTTTAAACATACAAGAAAGGAAACATGTTTACAGTATATACACTAGAATAATGGAAGCATAACAGCATGTGCATGACCACACACCTAGATAGACACCAGTGAAATTTCACAATTCCTATTTCAGTACCACAGCAAAACCTAACCAATATAAAGTTAAAACCTTATTAATAACCAAAAAATCAGTATTAAATAAAATATTTTACAAGAAATAGCACAAATAAATATAGTAAGAACAAACGAAGATACAGTACAAATGAAATACATGGTGCTCTTTAGTTAGGTTCAACAGTAGTATTCAGGAAAGAAATAATACAGAAATTAATCAATCTAATTATTATCAAATGTAAAATAAAACTGCAGTCTTCACTGTATATATTAAATATAGATTAATTGTACATTAAACCTACAAAATGTATTAATTCTTTGTTAGTTTGAATATTAATATTAATGACAGATAACATCAGGCATATTAGGCTACCTAATGCACAGATCCAGTATTAACAGAGATGGTTTCAGTGATCTGATCGCAAAGTGTTTTAGATCCCGTTTCCACCTGTATTTAGTGCTGACCACTTGTGATTCAATCATCAAAAACATCTTAATTACAGGGAGTTGCAAAATATCTATTTGCAAGTCCGCAATCAGTCCAGCTTTACACTGCCTGTTGTAGCACCTATGTGACATCGGTCTTTGAATTATCTACATTTGTGGGCTTTACCTAGTAAATAATAAATAACATGTGCGGCAATTTGTGATTGATTACATGAGCGCATCATTTACAGTGTTTAACTGAAATTTTGTAATCACTTGACAGACATACATTAAAGTATACATAAATATAAAGTACTGGGAAGAGTCATGTTTAGTGAGCAGTGTTTTTGCTTCTGACTCAAGCTGAGCCAAGATGAAGCCACCACCTTCTACGACGAGCTGAACCACCACATATTCGAGTTGGTTTCCAGCTCAGATGTGAATGAGAAAAAAGGTGGTATCCTGGCCATAGGTGAGTATTAACCCAATGACAATTGCTGTCTACTATATATTGTTATTTTTAATCAACATGTAAACTAATGTGGCCTTATGTTTCTATTTTGCCAGATCTACCTATAATTTTCCATTGAAAGTCACTTGTCACCATTGTATTGCTTTGTTTGATGCATTTTTTTAATCATTGTGTAATGGCTGTTTCTCCAGTGAGTTTGATTGGTGTGGAAGGGGGAAATGCCACCCGTATCAGCCGTTTTGCCAACTACCTGCGCAACCTGCTTCCCTCCAGCGACTCAGTGGTCATGGAGATGGCCTCTAAGGCCATGGGTCACCTGTCCATGGCGGGAGACACCTTCACTGCGGAGTATGTGGAGTTTGAGGTGAAGAGAGCTCTAGAATGGCTGGGAGCAGACAGGAATGAGGGCAGACGGCATGCAGCGGTGCGTAGAAACACTTCACTGAATATTATATTGTCATGATGAATTACAAGGTAACTGTTTGAAGCCTTTAAGTTAAAGTAGCATTTTTCCTTGTTGTAGGTTTCTTCTAAATTAATGCTATAGTTTACCCAAAAATGAAAATGTTGTCATCAGTTACTCACCCTCATGTTGTTCCAAGCCTGGATGATTTTCTTTCTTCTGTTGAACACAAAAGAAGTTATTTTGAAGAATGTTGGTACCTAAACAGTGGCTGGTAGCCATTGAATTCCATAGTATTTTGCCCTACTATGGAAGTCAATGGCTAACAGCAACTGTTTGGTTACCTGCATTCTTTAAAATATCTTCTTTTATGTTCAACAGAAGAAAGAAAATAGTACAGATTTGGAACAACTTGAGGATGAGTAAATCATGACAGAATTTCCATTTTTGGGTTAACTATCCCTTTAATGCCACTTATATGTTCTGATATAAACTTTATATCAGATTCTCTTACACTTGACTGTATGTTATTGGTGGATTTTAGCTTCCTTAACAGTACTTCATTCTGTGTCTCTTTGCTCTCTTCTGTCTAATGTGAACTGAACCCACTTGCCACTGTTTTTGTTTCAGGTGCTGGTTTTGCGAGAGCTCGCTGTTAGCGCACCCACATTCTTCTTCCAGCAGGTGCAGCCGTTCTTTGATAACATTTTCTATGCTGTGTGGGACTGCAAACAGGCGATCCGTGAGGGAGCAGTATCTGCACTCAGAGCCTGTCTGATCCTCACCACCCAGAGAGAGACCAAAGAGATGCAGAAGCCACAGTGGTACAAGGTCAGAATTAAAACACCTTTGAATGTCTTTAAATGTGTGTGTGTGTTATGGGTATGGCCACACATTCCATATATTTTGTTGTCATAAACAGCAAACGTTTGAGGAAGCCGAAAAGGGTTTTGATGAGACTCTGGCTAAAGAGAAAGGCATGAATAAGGATGACCGTGTCCATGGAGCTCTACTGATTCTCAATGAACTGGTGCGAATAAGCAGTATGGAGGGAGAGGTAAGATATCGCTCATGCTACAGGTAGCATAACACATGATTTGTGAGTTTTTGCTGCTGCTTTGTTCGTTCTTTCATTGTTTTGCTCTTTTGTTATTTGCTTTTTCTGCTTGTTATTTGTGTTATTTATCATTCGTTTGATCTTTTATTTCCTAGGCTGTTTATGTGTTGCTTTTGATTTGTTTTCATTTTTTGTTTGTCCTTTCAATTGTTTGTTTGCATTATTTACTTTTGTTTCTTTCATTTTGTTTGATCTTTCAATCAAATTTGACGTAACTCATTGCTTCAATGCTTTTATTCATTATAGGGCTGTTGCGGTGAATAAATATTTATCTATCTATCTACATAATTAAGCTCATTATATTATTATAGGTGTAATATTATGTTCTGATTCTGACTGGACAAGAGGCTTTCAGTGTTGTTGAGATTTCAGCAGTGCAGGGAGTTGTCTCTGTATTCATTTTACACAGTCTGTCAGTCAGTGCAGTTACATTATTATGCCAGGAGGTGGCGGCAAGGGACTGTCTTTACGAGTGAGTCAACTAAAACGTTTAAATACGCTGATTAATTCATAATTGAAATAAAGTTTTGAAATTAATTTAACTTTGAGCGCCACTTTACAAGGCTCAATCGATGATCAGCGCCTTACCTGGGTAATGCTGAAGCTGATGTTTCACTTCATAGAGAACAATGCCATTGGTTCAATGCATTGAACAGCTCTGACGCAGTCATGGGAAATCCCCTTAAATGCTGAAAAGATACTATGACAAAGATATCGCTTTTATCTTCAGATAACTGATGGCAAACTGATTTTTCCCCACAAATATATGACTAGAATAGTATAGACGCAGGCAATCGTGCATGCTCAGACGATCTCTCTCTCTCTCTCTCTCTCCGTCTGATGCACATCTACAGAACCTATGTACAAATCACAATGGTACACAGTCTTAATGACGTAAAAAAAAAGTTAAAAAATATTACTCTCTTCACTTTTGTTATGATATAAACTTACTGAACGTCCAGTACACGTGCATTAAGGGTAAAACAAGAAGGGCATAGCCTCATGAAAAAAAAACATGAGCATCGCAGTTGCTTGCTATACTCTGCGGTTGGCTTGTCAGTATTGTGACAGCCCTAATTCATTATTTGTTTCATTTGTTATCTTTCATTCCTGCAGCGTATGAGAGAGGAAATGGAGGAGATTACACAGCAGCAGATGGTTCATGATAAGTACTGCAAGGAGCTGATGGGTTTCAGCACTAAACCTCGCCACATCACGCCCTTCACCAGCTTTCAGTCAGTGCAGCCGCAGCAGTCCAATGCTCTGCTGGGGCTGCTGGGATATAGCACACCACAGGGCTTCCTAAGTTTTGGAGCTGCACCTGTTCCCTCCAAAAGCACGCTGGTGGAAAGCCGGTACTGCAGAGAACTGATGGAGGAGAGTTTTGACCAGGTGATCAGTGATTGCATTTACTACTGAAGAGGAAAGAACTGTCTGCATCTGGTCTCAAAATAAGCAGTCCCAGTAGTAAAGTTTAGGAAGAAATTGTAGCATGTTTTTAGTATGTAGCATGTTTTGTAGCAAAAAAAAAAATATATATTTTTTTTAAGTCAATCAATTTAGGGTACATTTCATGTCCATTTATGATAATTCTTCTCTTTTTCTAACAATTCACTTCAGAAAAATTATATTTTATCCATTAAGTGAAAGCATAAGTATAATCTGACAGTTGTTTTCAAATATACAGTACAGTCATATTTGAGGTTAACCTAAACAAGAGTCGACGTGGAGTTTTGCATAACATCTCTTAAAATTGCCAAAATTAATTTTTAAGGCTTATTTATGATAAAAAGTTCTATCTTTAGTGAAGGTGCTGAGAAGATCACATGGATATCTATAATGGTCTTTCTGATTTTCTGAAAAATCAACTTTTCCAAACCCTTCTATACAATACAAGCCGAATTCTAAGTTAACTGGACAATCATGTCACAAATTTGGCATGTATTTAAGAAATCCCCTGATAAAAAGGTTTCATTTTTTTGATTCCTCAAATTTTAGGCAATGTATTATTCAGGAGTGAACCATATTGTCTAAATAACGTCTCTGTGGTGTATAAGATTGTAGTGTTAGTTATAACTTTAGACATTTCTTAAAACTGTGCAACTGTGATCAGGGAAGTTGACATTTCCCACAGCATCGAAGGATCTAATGTATTTTGTTGCTGTTGCATCAGGTGTGCCGTTGGGTGCTGAAATACAGGACCAGTAAGAATCCGCTCATTCAGATGACTATCCTAAACCTACTGCCCCGACTTGCTGCCTTCCAGCCTCACACTTTCACTGGTACACTTGCTTGTGATTACATCCCAGCCTTACTTCCAAAGCTGGATTTTGACTATTTTAGTAATTATATTTGTTTCTAATTCAGTGACATTCAGATATTTTAATTCTATATCAAAGTTGTCAAATACATTGTGGGCTCACTGTGCATATTAGGATATTTATTTTTTGTTTGGCTTCACTTTTTGCTATATTTGATTGACTATATATTAAAGATTTTTCTTCTGCCCTCAGATCAGTATTTACAGGACACTATGGGGCACCTGCTGGGCTGCCTGAAGAAAGAGAAGGAGAGAACGGCAGCATTTCAAGCGTTGGGGTTGCTGGTGGTTGCTGTGAGGGCCGAAATTCAGCCCTACCTCAGCAAGATCCTGGAGATCATCAAAGCTGCACTGCCACCTAAAGACTTTGCACACAAGTAAGAACCTGAAACCATTCAAATCTAAACTTTTGTTAGCACACAGCTCAAATACAAACACTGTTTAGAGGCCTGCAAAAACTTAAGCAGTAAACAAGACAAGAGGGCATGCTTTACAGTGTTTTATTTTTACCACGGTTAAGCAGACAACCCACACAGCTTTATGTGATTTATTAATTGTTCAAAAACTACTGCAACAATATGAATGATGTTCAGTAAATTATTATAATTTTTTTAATAATAACAATTATGGATCCCATAAAAAAAATTGGTCGAACAGTTTACTTTCTTGTGTTGATGTATTTTCACTTGATTGCTTATATTATTGACAGTAGTAATGAAGCCACTTTCATAATGATTAAACACAACTGTTGGTACATGATCAAGACGTTCCGACACTCTGATTTATTATTTGCTGTTTATTTGCTAGTTGCTTTCATTGCTTGTTATACTGTAGTAGGCTGAAGGCTGTATTTATAATTTAGAGGGTGGGGGAAGTTCTCATTCTAGAAAGTATTTAGTATTTTCCTGGAAAAGAAAGTGCAAATTTTAACGTATAAAATGAGATAAAAGTTATATTGTCAGATTTTAGTCAAGTCAAGTTACCTTTATTTATATAGTGCTTTATACAATACAGATTGTGTCAAAGCAGCTTTACAGGGTTAAACAGGAAAACAGTGTTTTAATAATGCAAACCAAATTCAATTCTGCTGTAAAGCAGCTCTAAAAAGAGGACGATAGTAAACAGTCAGTTTTTCAGTTAAAGTCAGTTCATCATCGATTCAGTGATGCCATCATCCAGCTCAGTCCAGTTCTCAACTTTTAGGAATAATATAATTTGTTTGCCTGTCTGCTGTTTGTCAGTGCCAAGCAACATAATCAAAGATCTAGGCCTACAACTTTTTGTTGTGCGATATATTGCCCCAGAAATAATTGCGATAAGTGATATTATTGTCATTTTAAAGACCATTTTATGCCACTGAATATATAATCATAATGTAACAGCATAATAATGCAAGAAGGCCTACACACTTCCAAATGACAACAAACTTTTAATTTTTAAGAATGTTTAGATCATGGAAATTAAGTATCAAAATATTAGATACCATAAAAACTTGAATAAATGGTAAATGAACATTTTCTAACAAAAAGTGCAAAGTAACAAGTAGAAAAAAAGAAAAATGCACAAAGAACTTGTATGGAGATTTTTCCATCTACAGATTTTTCCCGGACCTTCTTTTCTCTGTAAATTATGGGTGCACAGCACACTATTGCTGAAAAACACAATCACTACTTAGCAGTCAGATGTCCGTATGCACAAAGGCACAGATCCCTAAACAAGACCATATCTGCTGATGAAACTTTTTAAAATTTGAACTAGCACCAACTACACCACGTTATGTACGAGAAGCTGCAAAAGACACTGGCGCAAGTGGAATGTAAAAAACACGGTGACATAAATTTGTAAGTAAATATAATGGGCGATATATTGCGTCACCAAAAATTATTGAGGTCATGTACATATATTGCGCGATAAGTCGATATATTGATTATTGCGACAGGACTACAAAGATCAATATCAAATTTAGCTTATATGTGTCATGACTTTAAACGTGGCTTATCCAGTCAGATTTTAAAACTATCCAAGTGCACTAATGTTGCTCCTGATTCACTAAACATGAAATCTAAAGAATGTTATGTATTTGATTTTCTCCTTCTTTTTGCCCTCTTTCCCATGTTTTGTAATCTTTTAGGAGGCAGAAGACCATGCAGGTGGATGCTACTGTATTCACTTGTATCAGTATGCTGTCCAGAGCTATGGGGCCTAGCATACAACAGGATGTCAAAGAACTTCTCGAGCCCATGTTAGCTGTTGGTCTCAGGTACAGTACAAGTCAAACTGCTTGGGGCTAGTGCTTTATTCTCAGTTTCTCCTTTACAAGGCAATAGTTTTTTTTTAGATGCAAACTCATTGATAGAAACATATTCACTTCTACAATGTTACAGATATGACTAAGACAATTAATAGACATGAAGCATAATAAAAACAGATATGTAGGCACAATATATTTTTGTCTTCAAAATCTAGTTTGAAACATTTAAGCCTTTAGAACAAAAGGTTTTTAACATCATGAATGCTGTCGATTGTGCACAAACCTTTTATTAGCATTGTACATGCCAGAAGAGTCTAATTGCCTGCCTCTCTTCTTCCCAGTCCTGCTCTGACCGCAGTGCTGTACGACCTGAGCAGGCAGATCCCACAGCTGAAGAAGGACATTCAGGATGGGCTGCTAAAAATGCTTTCTCTTGTGCTCATGCACAAGCCTCTGCGTCACCCCGGTATGCCCAAGGGCCTGGCGTACCAGCTGGCGTCACCCAGCCTGACCAATATCCCTGAGGCTAGTGACGTGGGCAGCATCACCCTGGCACTGCGCACTCTAGGCAGCTTTGAATTTGAAGGTACAAGACACTTTAGAGCAGGGGTGTCAAACTCAATTCCTGGAGGGCTGGAGCCCTGCAGAGTTTTGTTCCAACCCTGCTCCAACACAGAAACCATGTAGTCTTCAAATAAGCCTGAAGGACTTGATTGGTTGGATCAGGTGTGTTTAATTAGGGTTGAATCTAAACTCTGCAGGGCTCTGGCCCTCCAGGAATTGAGTTTGACACCCCTGCTTTAGATGATGATGGTTGAAATGAAATTTTACTGTCAACTTAATCATGAATTAATTCGACCAGTTTTTGAAAAATTTGTTTGCAAAGCGCTACTATTAATTAGGTACATTCATTAATAGTTTCTTAAATGGCTGCTGTTGGTCAAAGGCAGGGCTGTCCAGTCCTGTTTTTGCTGGGCCAATGTCCTGCATAATTTTGTTCCAACCCGGTCCTGGACACACCAGCCTGGAAGTTTCTAGTAATCTTGACTATCACGTATTCTATTAATGTCACGTAATTCTATTAATCTACGAGTATCACCTGTATTCATAGTGACAGTGACTAAAATATATGGTTGTGATGTCCATAACATCTGCATTGAAACCCCACACTTGCAGCAGGGAGTGACTCGCTTTGTATATGTGAAAGACAATTAGACAATTGCAGTTCCTTTCATACAGCAGGGGTTTGCCGGAAATGTGGTTGTGAGTCCTGAAAATTCACTGTGGTTACAATATGCGATTGTTACTCTCTTAAATAACCAGACTGTGTGTTAACCAAACATAAACTAAACATATTCTGCCACAGTTTCATAATGGGCTAGTCTGTGAATTGCCTGGTTATGTCAAGGAAGCTCTGTATAATTATTGTTGTGTCCACCAGACACTGATCTAGATTAACTAGTCAACCTCACCAATTGACTATCTGGTTTGTAGACGACTAGTTGACCATCCTGACCTGTCCCTCCCTACTACTGATAGTAATGATGCCTCAAATATATGTTGCTTGCTGAGGAGATTAAACCAGTGAAAAAATCCTAAAGAATTGCACAAGAAGAGGGACCTAAGGCATTTATAGAGACTTGATTACTAAATGAACACAAAATGATATTTACTTAAAATATCAGTTTAAAATCATATATACTATTGGTGCCAATAAAAAAAAATATATGAAAAAGCATGAAAAATAAAACTTTTATCCAAATTGTGAACATATGGGCACTCCCTTTATAATCACTGAAGCTGCCAATCACTTCAGCGCGAGCTCACTGACAAAGCGCTGCATTTTTTCTATCATGTTTACACTTTTTTGGCTATAATGAAAGGATTCATGAACATACGTTTTAAGCAGTATTGAGTGTATTCTGACTAACCTAAATGTGTCTGATCGGCCATTGCATCCTCATGCTTAACACACGATAGCGATCGGTTATCATGCTCAATGCTGTAAAAGCAAGTTGTAAATAAAAGCCTTTGATGCTCGTCATAGAGCGCTCACACGAATACCCACAGGATCGTTTGACAGCTGTTATATACAAGAGATGAAAAGGGGAGTGAAATTGGCTTGCTGTCTTTTTAAGCTAAACTTAACATTATCATGCTATTCCCATGCTATTCCCTAAGTTATTGCAGTAATATTGATAATATTTAATGCATCACGCAGCTCTACCCAGAACACCTTACAGGGCTCCAGACAAAAAAAATATCTTTGGCTCCTATAAGAAACAAAAATAGGCGGCAAATTATTTTTTTAAAGTGCCACAGAATAATCGTGTTTTATTTGATTTTTTTTTTTTTTGAACACTTCAACATTTCAGTCATACTGTCATATGTTTATGTCTCCCCTCCTTTTACAGCATCAGCATTTTAATCCTTCTTGTAAATGTCCTGGGAACTCGGGTTCACTTAAAGTGGGAACAAAATGTCTTTTCCAACTGGAGAGCTATATACAGTCACAAAGAATTGTTTATTACACAGAATCTGTGCCAATATCATGGACCATAACTATGTCAGCATCACTTGGCCATTGAGTGGGCTCCTCCTCAATGCATCCTATAAATGCTGTCATATGTCCTACACACATCCACTCTTCCAATCTTCATTAGTAGGTTAACATGCAATTTATAGGTGTTAAAATTAACCTTTAGCTCCTTGCATTCTTTCTTATAATGTAGACAACAGGTTAAGTAAAGATATTAATATGCAATATAGTGCATGTATTTAGCAATAAGCTCCTCTAGTTCTTTTTTCTAGCTGACTGATGAGCTTATGGACACAGAATGGTTATTCTGAGGTAAATGTATTGTTACGTGGCATTGTTTACAAGCTTTACACGTTTTCCACAGTTTGAAACACTGAATAAGCGATTACATGAGACATTTCAGTAAGTTGTATTATAGGCTATCTTATGTCCATTCATGTTTATTTCGTACTATAGTAGTAAAGAGAAAGATATGATGGGTTCACGTGCTGCTTGAACTGAGGCACTAAAGCGATCACTCATGCCACATTAAAGAGTGCCAAACGGCATTTATTGTTTGAATTTTGTTATGAATTTGGCAGAATTTTAAAGCTGGTACTTTGTTTTTTAAAAGGTAATAGAACAAGCTTACTGTGATTATTGGACGGCAAGTATGCTACAAATAATATGAAGTTCACACGTTAACAGAACACAGCATATAGGCTAAAGATCTTGATAACAACAAGCCATAATCGTATCGGTTATAAACGAGAATTGTTAACGATATTGTTAATGTCCACACAGCTGGCTACAAATAATATGAAGTTCACACGTTAACAGAACACAGCATATAGGCTAAAGATCTTGATAACAATAAGCCATATTCGTATCGGTTATAAACGAAAATTGTTAACGATATTGTTAATGTCCACACAGCTGACAGCTTTACCTGTTGTAGTCTGTTCAAGTTGTGCACAAAATAGACTCTGCTTTTCTGCTCTTTTACTTTGCAGGTCACTGTCAATTTCGATCTCAGTTTCTGCCACAACTAACTGTTTTTCCACTAAAACTATGATGTGCATTGTCATAGTTTATTATGTCAACACAACAAAAGATGTGATTGCAAAACAATCAGGAAAAAAGGCATTAGATGCACATTTTTTAAACATAACATGTTAATTTATATAGTCGCCAGTGGCGATCTCAGCAAAAATATCACTGGCAAATTAATCTTTTTTCATTACTGTTTGGTTCATTTTTAGGTCATTCGTTGACTCAGTTTGTGCGCCACTGTGCTGACCACTTCCTGAACAGTGAGCACAAGGAGATCCGCATGGAGGCAGCGCGCACCTGCTCGCGTCTGCTCACCCCCTCCATGCGGATCTGCATGGAGGCAGCGCGTACCTGCTCGCGTCTGCTCACCCCCTCCATCCACCTGATCAGCGGCCACGGTCACGTCGTCAGTCAGACCGCTGTGCAGGTGGTGGCTGACGTTCTCAGCAAGTTACTGGTGGTTGGCATCACTGACCCAGGTGAGAGAGACAGCTGCTTAAATCCATGGTAGCTTATAGATTATGTATACATTTCTGTAAGTTTATACTCGTACAATTGGTCCATAAATGTATTAAATTAAATGAAGGGTTGCAAATATGTCTATACCCTTGAATAAATTCAACAAACATTGAGAACCGTGTTACATAAATTAGTTGTAGGTCTAATTTAACTAGTTGTACTAGTTTTTACTGCTCAGTAACTTGCAAAATAGTCATAAAAACCATCATGAAAAAGAATAGTGATAAGATTGTGGATCATAATTTAATATCACCCACCCCTACTTCTTTGTAATGATTGTACAAGTTCACGACAAATTGCCACATCTATATGTGACCCTGGAGCACAAAACCAGTCTTAAGTCGCAATAGCCAAAAATACATTGTATGGGTCAAAAT